TGCATTAGTTCTGGTTTTATCATCTATTTTTAACGACCAACGAGTTGTGCTTATAAATATTTATATATTGCGATTAAGCAATGAAGTTCTATCCTTCTGGAATGTAGTACTGGACCATATTAAATCACAGTTTATCGTTTCCAAAAAACGGTAGATGGTGTAGAAAATTAAATATGCGCAGAAATTTGTTTATTTACATTTCTGCGAATTTCTAATAATTGATTTTATATTGAAATCGCTAACGCTGTGTTTACTGCATTTTATTTTAAACTAATTACAATTGGATTATTCATAGCTGTATCAAACATAATATTTATAAATAGGGATATTCAGTTCTGTTTGAATTTCATTAAGAATAATTTTTATTAATGTTATAAATAGCTGATATTCTTTTTTCTCTCAAAGTGGATGGTAAATTTAACGGGTATTTTTATTTCCTCACTTGTTTTGTGAATTTATAGAAGACTGGGGTAAACTTTTTAGTTGGGTAGTCAATAAATGTTAAAATTTTTGCATTATATTTTCGTTTTATTTCACTGAGTACCTTTAAGCATTTGGTAAGTACAATTGTGGTTAGATTGATGCAACAGTAGTTAATTTTTTGTCTCCGTTCTGATCCTGAAGACAGAAAAGAAAGGTGATATCGATTACAATTGTATAAATTCAGAATATCCGACTTGTTACAGAAAACGTTATCTCTAATATTAAGGCCAAATCAGTTATGATCTTCCTAATATTTTCTTTTTTCGATTAGATAATAAAAAGAGTCTTTCACGTGAAAACATTAACACAACTTGTCTAAGTTACGAAACAGAATTTTCTGTACCCGATTTCTGACGCCACCTGTTAATAATAATATATGCTAAACCGATGTCAGCATTTTGTCAGGTTGTTATAAAGTAATATTTCTTCAGAAAAAAAGCCCGAATATCCGGCACAGGACAAGAGACGAGTTACCAAAAGTCAAGGCCAATCAGTGGAATGATATCAACATTTTTTTCGCCAAAACTTGCTATAAAAAATATAATGCAAGGATTTGAGCAATATATTTTTGGGTACTGACATATGCGTAAAATACAACGACGAAATTAACATAATGGCACATTTATTTAATATATTAGAGTATCAGGCAGGACTAATTTGGAGGTAGCAGATTGATGAAGATATCTTTATAGACAAGGAGCAAGGGGAAAAATAATCTTCAACAAGAATACGAATATAGAGAATTGATCAATAAGTATATTTATACTGTTTTTATGAACTGGATCACATTGAAATGAAAAATTTAAAATTAAAATTAAAATTTTTAAATAATAAGCGTTGTAATGCTTAATTGACATGACACACAACATTTTGAAAACTTCTCAAAAATGTAAGTTTTGTTAATGAAAAATTTGAGGAGGTTTTTTTCGAAAACTGTATTAAAACAAATATTGTTTGTTTACGAATTTTTTGATATCCTTCAAATTTTTGTTAAAGACAAAGCCATAATTTACTAGTTTTAACAATTATTTAACATTATGAGATATTCTATAAGAACGCTTAATGTTCAAATTGAGCTATTGATATCATGAATAAATTAGATGTCAAGTTAATGAACTATAAATATAATTTTTTTCTACATATTTTTCAACTTATGTAAAAGCTTTGAAACATAGTTTCAGAAAATACATTGTTTGATACACGATTACAAAATGCTTTTGCATTTTTCAGCGACTTTTTTTCTTTTCTGTGGAAAGCGAAAGTGGCATTTCAATAAAAAAAAAACTATTTACAAATCTAAACTTTTTACATGACAGGTAAACTCACAAATAATTATTAATATAACAGAGTCAACTTGTTTTTACATATTTAAAAAATCTCGTCTAATATTCACATAAATAATTTCTTCATTTGCTTCCTATGCTCCCTAACTATTCTTTTACAGTCAGTTAACTGCGTAGTGCCGCCGCGCTAACAAAAGCAGTCGGCCATGGACGTCTGTAAAAAACTGGAGTAGTCCGGGTGTGGCATATCGTCGTAGGGCAATAGCACAGCACGCTGTATGAGAGGAATCAGGATGTAAACTACTGTGGGCCAGGCAGGCAAATTTTAGGTTGCCAGGATAACTGGGTCTAGGTCCTAGAGTAATGGGTTTAGGAGCGATTAACAAAAACTTCTTTTTTTTTGCAAATTTTGACTACGTTTCGATTATATAATTAGTCTTTGTCAAAGTTGTTACACTATAAAAGAATCGTATGACGTAAAGTTAATAAAAGTCGATTTTGATAAGTTGTTTTAATTTAAGCTGACGAATATTTGCAACATATGTTCAATTTAGAAACATTTTCTTGTTAGAAGTGCTCTAATGGTGAAAATATTCACCTTGTACATTACTGATATTCCAAAAGAATAACTATGACTCCAACAGCATGGTGAGATCATGTCTGAAACGTAGTGACTAACTCGATAGCCATATTTATCTCCCCTTAATTTTTTCTTGTGGATATGTTACTAGAAGGAGTTAACAAACACCTTTTCAGTAATATTGGAAATTTTGAAAAAGTGAACCTAAAATGAAGCAAACTTGTCCTAAAATTCTCAAATTGAATTTGTTCACCATTTAAGCTATGTATTGTCAACCACCAAGCTTAGTCTGATACTTATTGCAATTATTGTTGTCAATTAAAGATGATGTTTAATATTGGAAATGTTTAAGGAGTGCGTAGTGTAACGTTATGAAAATATGAAGAATCTAATGTAGGGGAGTATAAACATTTAAAGTGGTCCCAACCGCTGGGCGCAGGAATGGTTCGAGCGTAGTGATTTTAGTGTCATTTAGTAGATGGGACTTTACTATTATATAAAATAGAATTGGTCCATTGGATTTCATTTGTTACTTCAATTAATTAATAAAAATATGATCACCAATAAAATATTATTACCATGTAGAATTGGATTGAAACGATTGATTAATAAAAAATCTACTTAGTTTCAAATCTCCTGAGCTTGCTACTGGATCTGTCTATATTTGTTAACCGATGAAACATGTATTTAATAATTATAGAACTGACATTTTTACCTCAGTGATTAAAATTGACGTAATTTTAATTAATTTGTCAAGAACATTAAGAATACTCGAGCCTGCGAACGCTTTTACGTGAACGCGCGTCAGTCCTTTGAAAATATGCAAAGTTATGCCAAACGGACATAAATCTGAGCCCGATATACGTCAGCTATTAACTAATTCGAAACAATAATAAATTATTTACGAAAGGACCGAGTCTAACTCAATCATTCCGGTAAAATAATTTTATTGTGTGACTTGAATTAAACCAGGAGGACGATTCATAGGAATCTCAGCGGGAATTCAGAGCGCTGCGTCATCCTAACATCCTGTTTTACGTGTTTATATTTTTTACGGTTTTTGTTTGTAAATACATCAACACACCGGAAACAAATTGAAAGTAAAGGATACGTTAGGAATAAATAAAAACATTAAATTCTTGTGAAGGAAAAACGCTTCGGCTGCCGTGAATAGAGATTTAACAATTTTGAAGAAGCTGGACAAACTTAAAACGAACTCTGCTTCTTCCGAAGTAACAAATTGGAAAACATTGAAAACTGAAGCAAATCGAAACAAAAACAAATATTTATTCAACTATTTTTCCAGATACATTTATACAGTGTCCCTGAAAAGGACGGACAACGCTTGACCACAGGTTCCTTGGATGAAAACAAGACTATCTCGCTTAACTTACAAAAATGCACGCCTACTGAGATATAGTCTTCTAAATATATAACAGATAACTTAGTTTTTTTCAAATAATTTGAAAACTGTTGTTCTTAGAAACTTCAAATTTGGTATACATATTTTTTATATAAGGGCAATGTAAATATAGAATTTAGTGAGAATATATATACAGGATGTTCTCCTTCTAGTGCCTGTGCGCCACTGGCTATCCCGTAACTATTTTAAAAATTAGCACTATTTTAGAGGATTTTTTGCTTCTTGCAAAATTTTGATATCGTTCATGGATTTCGAGTAAAATTGACACGAAAAAAAAATAAATAGACAATACATTTACAATTTATTGTTTACCGAGTTGATCGCAAATAGTCTATTTTTGTTACTGACGTGGAGTTATGCACAACCTTGACTGTACATGAAAATAATGCATACTAGTTGGGATAATTTTCTATTAGAAGCAGTTTGAATTCATGTGACTAGCTAAATATTATTTTTAGGATATGAATAAAGCAAACACTGTTTATTTATAGTGCTACAAACGTGGTGGGTAATGAGTTTGTAGTAAATAAATATGAATTAATAAAAGAGACAAAGACTCTCATAACTAATTTCAGCCTAGTGTTTATTAGTATGTATATGCAGATATTGTCAGTGTTATCATACATTTAGATACAAAGAATATCACCGTATATTGAGTACAGTAAGTTAGGGTAGGCGATTATTAAACAAAATATTAAATTTAAAAATTCTTTACAAAAAAGTAATAAAAAAGATATTGGGTTGTGGTTCTTATCAAAGTTAATTCAATTCAAACTGTTTGAGTGTATTTTTTAATCCATTTGACATTAGGAATGGCCTTTGAAAAGATCTCCCATTACTTTGTGGACAATTAGGAGCTTCTTTATAGCCTTCTTATTCTTCCTCCGAAGAACATTGATTTGAAAACAAGGGGGAAGGATAATTCAAGATTTCCATTGAGATTTTTAGACAAGTGACAAGGAAATGTACTAAAAATTTAATTAATATGTTATAAGTGCATTACCAATTTTTCCCACTTTCGATTTTTCAGTTTTACATGTTTCAATATACAAATTCATATTAGAAATAGAAAAGTTTTACTCTACCTATGTTCAAAGTGCTCCATTAATAAAATACACACATTTTTTAATTAAAATAAATTTTCTCTGCCTTGTACAGGTGTTTTTATAACTGCAATATAATAGATGATTAGCAGCTTTCGGATTTTCGATCAATAACAGAAACGCAAACATTTTTTTACTATAAACTAAACTTTATTAGTTAAAAAAGGGTTTTATAAACAGATCTGTTAGAAAAACAAATTTAGGCAAGTTATACAAAATTAAATTTTTGTGAATTCAAAGTGAATGAAGATTAAGCATAGTTTAACCATAGTAGTAGTAACCACTGTAAGGGTAACCATACAACCACTGTGGAGAAGGTCCTGCTACTGGACTTGGGGCTGGATTAGGTCCAGGGTACGCCTTAGGAAGGGCCAGAGCCAAACAGGCAAGGGCGAGAACCACGAAAAGTACCAGCTGAAATTGAAATGGTTTGATTTACATAATATATTAGTTTTATCTAATCAAATTGTACCGATGTTTTGAAAAACCGATTTTTCCATACCATAAAATTTATTCAATGGGTGAAAATATAAACAGCCAAATTAAGAATTGAAATGTCCCATATAATATGCATATTATAGAAATCTTTAGGTTTTGTTTTTAGTTTGACAAGAAAAGTATAAGAGACATATAAAAAACAAATAGAAGAAACATCTATTGTAAAATATTTAACAATTTTTCTTCTATTTGATGCCAAAGTTGAGGTAGAATCTTTATAAATACTGAATTGCATGAGTGCTAATATGTCTAATTGAATCATAATAAGGGACATGAAAGTCATTTATACAAAACATAAAATTTCGAAAAACTGATGATAAGGTCGCAAAATGGAATATACAGTATTATAAGTATTACAAAAACTACATTATGTACTTTTCATTTACACTCAAAGCTGATCCATTTTTATCAGCAAAATATGTGAACTAGAAATTGAAAACATTTTGCTCCATTTGAGTAGAAAATTATAAAACATACTGCTGATACTACAAACTGATTAAAAAATAAATTTTAAATGTGCTTGTATAAATAGTCGGAAAACAAACATAAAATAAAATAAATTACCAGAATCCGTAAAAAAACAACAAAATGCTATTTAAAGAACGAATTAAATTAAGCAATAAATAGCTATTTTCTTATTTTTTTTTCTCTTTACAGAAGATACACATTCATAAGAATGATGCTATTAGTATTGTTAGATGTTGTCTAAAATGGTTAATATAATTACAAAATTTTAGTAACTTATTAATCAGTTGATGATATAATAAAAAAGTTAAATATTTATACAAATATCAGTATTAGAAAAATTGTGTATGTACATACCAGTTTGAACATCTTTGCGAATTGTTTCACTTGCTCAAGACTCAGCTGTAGAAGTAAGTAAAATACTTTATATTGCAATGAAACAGAGCAATTTATATATACATTACTAGGTGCATTTGCATATTTTGCCGTTTGTTATTAGTTCCTTTGTACTTAGTTCAAACAAATAAGCAGAGTTACATATTCTCGTCACGAGACTAAAAATTCAGACGAGGATTTTCCATGAGATCATCTCGCGTATTCTAATTTAGGCACTTCTTGAATGGACGTCGAATTTATTTGCATTAGAGACGGTTGTAATTCTGTACTGCGCAAGATACAAAAATTTTCGCCCAACGAAATCGATTTTATTTTATTTTTAAGTTCTCTGTCAGAACGTATTTGCGTCTTCCTTGTGTTAATTTCTTTAATTTATGATAAAAATAAAGAAAAACCTTGAAATCAAACTTCTATACGAAGTTATTATCAAAGCTTACTATTATGTTTACGGAAAAATTTAAAGAATTTTTCTTGTCACATATGATTTTTTTTCTATGTATAATAATGACTCTATCGTCATCCATTTCATGGTTTTATCTAAAATTTAAAAAATGTATGCAAATCTGATTGTTTTGGTGCTATTATATCGTCACTAATCGATTATACACGTTAATTGTTTTTAAACAGAGCTCTAATTTAGATGCATGTGTAGGCAGAATACCAGTTTGAGTATATACAATTTTAAATCGTTAAAGTGTGTGCGGTTAGTGAATAAAATGAGTCGCAATTAACGTAGATGATTTAATTTATCTCGTATAATCAGATTTCTGTCATTTTGCAATTACTTTACATGTATAATGTCTGCAATAAATTACATACTTGCAATCTCACTTAATAATGTATGTTATGTAGGATAAATTATATACAACTGTTTCTCTCTGGTTTAGTATGTTAACTGATATTTGCTTTATTGTCACAAAGATTTACCAATCTTAGGTGCAAAATCTCTTAAAAAAAGTGCAAAAAGTTTAATCAGAGTCACACCTGAATCCTCTGAGGGTTGTAGACAAGTTACCGTGGTAAGTTTGAAGGTAATAATCGCAATATTGCAAAACTTCTTTCGATGCTCTCTGTGCAACAGTTCTTTAGAATCTTTTGGTATGACGAAGTATTTGAAAATTGGAGAAAATGGACTATTTCTGGATAACGGCACAAGCAAAAAACATTTATTCAACCTAATAAAAGACTTACTTTATAAGATTATTACATAGTAAAGAATAGCATGTCAAACTGATGCTATTGCGGGAAATAACTACTCTGAGGACTAATTCCCTGTTCAGCATTGAACTATTCCAGTAATATCTACTAAACAGTTTGAATCATTCGCCAGTTGAATTCACCAGACCTACGTCGGTTGTTTACTAGGTAATGAGGATATAATTCAATGCGAGTCAGGGCATTGGTTAACGGAGTAGTTGTTAGCACGTCACTCTCTGCCAGTTTAGCTGAGGGACGCTTTAGACATTAACCAGTATTGCCTACGTCTCATCTATAATAATAATATAATCATTTCTATGTCTAATAGAATAATGTGAATCAAAATAATAAAATTTGATGTGATTCCCCTGTCCCAGTAAACTTTACATTAAAATTGATCATATTGTACTGGCATATGTGATCTATATTATGCAGCAAATTTTTTAGCTTCCTCAATTTATTAGTGAGTTTTTGTTACTTGTGCAATTTCATTTTGACACGTTTTTGTTGCAGAGATCAATTTTAAAAAATGGTTAGTAATTATGTCAATAGGGCACAAGTTATAAGTCCATTATGTTTGTGATTTGCTGCCTTTACGACTGATTTTATTTACAAAAGCTGGTAGCATTATATTTAAATGAAAAATATTGGTATTTAAATGCAAAAACTATTGATTTTCTAAGAATACAGAAATCACATAATTTTTTGTGGCTCTCCCCTTTGAATTTACCTCTTTTCATTTGTTTCAATTTTTTTTCTCAAATTTTATTTCACTTATACTCGGTAGAGGTGAAATTGATAATAAGACACTTTAGTTCTAATCAAGCAGTATATTTATTTCAAGAAATAAAAAAGCCATATACAACTAATTTGTTAAAAACCAAAAAATAGTGTTCAATTTGAATATCGACTTCAGTGTTTTTAGGTAGTGTGACGACAATTTTGTAAACCCTTAACCGTAGTAGTAACCACTGTAGTAAGGGTAGCTTCCATACAACCACTGTGGAGATGGTGCGGCAGCTGGGTTAGGTCCAGGATTGGGTCCAGGGAAGGCCCTTGGTACGGCTAGCGCTACTGAGGCAATGGCAAGAACAACGAGGAGCATTAGCTGAAAAAAAATTAAAATGAAAAAAACTATTACATAATGTCAATAATTTTTTTTTTCTATAAATATATTGATGTGGCACGACCAATATAAAGTAATAAAAATGAAATATATTTTTACATACCAATTTGAACATGATGATTTGTTGGTGCACTGATGTGTACAAGAGTTGTTAAGTAAAAATTGGTACTGATGAAAAAAACTCGCGCACAGCTTTATATACGAAAAAAATCTTTATTTACATAGAGCTCTTCCGTCTTGTCAAAGGTTTTTCAAACTGAAAGTATCCTAATATTATGCATTCTAAGCGCGTTTTGAATATTTTTCCATATCATGTGCATGCGGTACTGATTTATTCAATTGTGAATTTTGTTTACGTTTCATATATCATATATTTTCATATTTCATATATACATTTTCGGGAATAATAAAATGAATTATTATTGTATTTATAGTTATGGGTTTGTGAGATGCCACAGTAAAGTAGATAAAATTAAGTAAATCACCTCTGGCCCAAAAATTGTATAAAATGAGTTTTCCCCAACCACAAATATCTAGATCGATTCGAAAGGTGGTTGAAAAGAATAAAATAAAATACGTTATCTTTGTTTCTATGTATAAGAAAAAATTTATCTGGTTAGTACTAAGGAAGAAGTGATATCAGAGAATAATAGATTTAAAAATATACCTGCAAAACCTAGAAAGTGCGTAAATCTATTTTATTAAACATTTTGCAAGTCTTCATCCGGTGAAAGAAAGTCAGTTGCAGGCAATGTACTTAATAACCTTTTATCAACCAATTAATTGAATTTACTTATATTTACGCATTTTTTACGTAATAACTCTATGAAAAGGTCAGCTTTGTTTGAACGTGTTTTTTGTAATGTGTTTCTTAGTTTTCCTAGGCGTATTACATAAGTGAAAAATAAAGACGTACACAGTGTCATTTATTGCATTATATTGACGTTTGGTGCAGCGAATACAAATATAGGTGTTGGCAGAATGCAAATGGAAATTGTCTGCAGTAACTTGTTTTTTCTTTTGTCTTAACAGTTGCAGACGGTAAATATTGTTAAAATGTGTTTGTGTACCATTATTTCCAAAGAGAGAACAATTAAGTAATTTGCATAAAATCCTTTTATTATTTTTTTATCGTTTAATTCTGGGATGAAATACATCTTAAGTCACATTAAATTGCGTTTATAATATTCCTACAACGTTTCTGTCTATCTTCAAGGCTATCCAATGTCCGGGATGCAAACATCGATAACGCAAATGGGACAAAATATTAATTGAGACTGAAAACTCGGATGGAACATGATATTTTGTTATATTCTATATTTTATCTGAAAAGAAAACTGGCTAGCCTTTAACCTGTAAAAATAGCTACGATAAAAAGTTTTTAATGAACACAAAAACTCCAGTAATTTTTTCCTCGCCATCCTTTTGTCTCCACTTTTGTGATCGTATGTTAAAGAAAACCTTTCATTTGAAATAACTGTTATTGTAAACTACTCCTACGAAACAGTCCGAATCTTCTCCGTTTTTTTTTATTTTTTATTTCCAATTCCTTAAGGAACTTTTATCGTTGTTTCTCTTTACTTACATATACTGAAATGCTAACATGGTTCATATTCTCTGCAGCATTTGTAGCATATCTAACATAATTATTATCTTATTAAGGCAACAACATATAATGTACCATATCGAACGCCTAACAACGATGTAAGTTGATCGTAGATGGTCGTGATATAATGGGAAATACGATGATAACAGCGGCTAAAATTTTAGAGATGTGCGTTGAATGCATTATTTTTGTTTATTGTTTATTTATTTGTATTCATATCAAGGTGAGAATGGAATACCAAAGCAAGCATGCATTATAATAATAAAATTGTGTATATAAATGTTAAGACCGTCAGAGAACTGTTGTCAGTAAAATTCGGCAGGCACTATCAACCGGTGTGAGAAAAATCAACCTCAAGATGTTCAAACTGGTAAGCATAGTTAGGGACACCTTAGAATTTCGATGTCACTGAGTATTTTGAAAATTGTTTAAGAATATGCAATTAACAATGTTATTTCAAAGAAAAAGGACGTAGGTATTCCAGTTAATTCGAAAAGCTATATTGGCACCATAGTTTTTAAAATTTCAAATAAGCTTAAATTCAAAATATCCCTGCAATTATTTGTTAAAAAATTAATGTTCAAGAAAACAAATAACTTTCCTGTTTATTAAGGTTCATTCATTTTTAATATCTATTTGAATAAATGCAATGTTTTTTTAACTTCAACAATAGTGACCTGGCCTTAAAAAACACCCTGTCTTATTCATGTTATTCAGATTATGCTTCGGAACTATAGTAGATTAATAATAATAAGTTTGTTTATTTTTCGCGATAATTTCAAAAACACTATAATTTTAAATGTTCTTTCGCAGTTTGTTCTACTCGTGGTCCTAGCAGTCGCTTCCATCACTCTTGCCGCTCCTGGAGCTTTTCCAGGACCTAATCCTGCACCAGGACCAGTCGCTTCACCTCAAGTAGTGTACGGTGCTTACCCGTACTATGGGGGATACTACGGATATTACGTTTGAATAGAAGGAATTACAAAATGAAACAAATACAATTTTCGCTAATTATATTCACATAGTACAAATAATAGGTGTATATTTTTAATAAAGTATAGAACAGTAATTTCACTTGCTTTTCCTTTCACTTTATTTACTTTCCGCTTTGTTAAAACATCACTAAGCAAATGGACTTAGCAGTACGTACGAAATATGTCCACGTAAGTTTCCTATATTGTCATCGTTATTTTTCATTAATTTAGTTAATGTCTGTTAAAGAATTATTCTATTTTTATGAATTATGAAATCTAAAGTGCAAGGTCAAACTCAGTATTTTATTTTCAAACTAGTTTCTTACAAATAAAAGATATTATGTTACAGAAAAATATAGAAGAAATAACTAACAAGTTGGATTTATGTTATGAAATATTGTTTTAGGTCACCTATAACAGAATTATTAAATAGGTATTATGTATGAATTTCGGTAAAATGAGACTGCTTTGTTACCATTGATATTATTTTATGACAATGAATACCTGAACGATAAATGAACGAATTTCTTCTCTCTGATTCTTGTAACTGACATTTTATTTCAATTTTTTATCGCAAAACAATGTGTCTCACAGTAACCAACACGACTTCTTAAATTATCATTTAATTTTCACATAGTTTAACTAGGTTAATTTTTTATGTACACATTTTTCAATAATCTACCAGATTTTGAAGTGATGAGAAAACTGCTATAAAAAAGAAATATAATTTCCCTGTACACCAAACTTCCTAAATTTCTATATTAAAATTTCGATAAATACTGAGATATCTTTTATTTGTAAAAAATAAGGATTATTAAATGATTGATGTGATCGATTTAAATTTTTAGTGGGTATTGTGTTTCATACAAGTTCTTCTGGAAATGTGTGATAAGTATTCGCAGGTTTGTCGATAATCTCTTAAAAGAAATATTATTATTTACGGGAAAATGTCTCAAGATTAAAAAAAAACTGTTATAGTATTTTGAGACCCATTAATTGAAAAGAAACCAACTTTTAATTTAATTTATTGTTGTTAGTAGAATTTTAATGGGATTACCAGTTCTTTAAAAAATACAACAATAAATAAAAATCTAGTTTTTATAAATTTATATCCGTAGGTGGTCCCATCTTGAAAAGTACACGCCTACCTTTGATACCATTTCCTATAAAAAGTTTTGACAGAATTAGTTCTAGGCATAGCTTGTTCTGAGTTTTCACAACAAACGAAAATGTTCAAATACGTATGTATAGATTTATTTTAGCCTTAACTATTTTACTTAATTTTAGATTTTGTATTCCAAAGTTATTTTTTTTAATACGCCAATCCATTCGACTATATTATGTATATCTATTATTATTATTTATAATACCTAAAATCAGTTTTAAACACAGATACCTAGATATATACTTTTTTCCATATTTTCGTTAAATTCTTTATTTTTTAAAATAACATAAAAATTTTATTGTTTTATTTTTTGAACATCAAAAAATACATTTTGCATATTTTAAAAGGTTTGAAAATTATATTGCATTTTTAATTTTCAGTTTTGTATTTTACGAAAAATTATTATTTTATATCTCTAGTATAATCACTACTTATGTATAGTATTATTAAAAACAGCGGGATAGTTCATCGATTGTCTCATCTACACCTCAGATATATGTCTGCTGGTTCGACTGACGAACAATCTTAACTGTTTACTACCTATTGCAGGGATGATGTTGATGATAGTTTTTGAAGAATTTCCCCATATATTGTCCCTTTTTTTAAATAAAATATTAATAATATTAACTAATTAGTATAACATTTCAATTGATAGGTGATATATAAAGTAGGTACCTGAAATTTTTTAATAAAGGAAACATAATTTTATAAAATAACTTATTTCAAAAATATTATAATTTGCAACAGGAAGCGAAAATAGATATTTTCCACTATTTAATATTAGTGACTAGACATTTAACCCGCAGATAAGTTGTTTCTGCAGTTAAAGTTTGTTCATTATTATTGACAATTATAATTTGTAATAAAAATATATTTTTTTTTAGTTGGTCTTCTTCTTCGCTCTGTTGGTCGCAGTAGCCATGGCTGCACCCAAACCTGAGCCTCAGTACCTTTACCCTTCATACTACTCCGGATATTCCGGATATTCCGGTTACCCATACTACTCTGGCTACGTCGGCAACTATGGATATCCTTATGTTGGTTAAATTAATTAAGACGGATTTGATTTTGTACATGGAATACTACTTTTAAGGCAATAAAGTTTCAAAAACATTTCTGTGTTACTTAATAGTGTTGTTTCCCACTTTTTAATCCAATCAATATAAAAGACAAGAGAATATTTGATATGTCTGTTATTTTTCTATTTTTTGTTTTTTTTTGTTTTAAAAAAATGTATAAACTATATGACGACGAAGTTTGTCGAAATTTGCTGTATATAAGTATCTTTGTAGCAACTAGATACCCAGTACACAATCGATTCTATAACTATCGATAAAAAAATTATGTCTTTATCCTAAGAAAAAGAAGAAAAAATGAATCCGATATTTGTTTATATATAGATTTTAAAAAATACAAAGTTTATTATTTACTTAAAGTGCCAACGGGTCACTTTGACGTAGTTGTTCTCGCGCTAAGTTCTATGGGAGTCAAAACGCTATCAAAATCGCTAAACTGATGCTGATTTCGGTTATTGTGGCTGGTTCTAAAGCCACTAGGAACGGATAAACTTCTGTAACTGGTAGCATCCAGTGCTTCCAAACGTTTCGTCGTTCTTCACTGTCGACATCTTCAGTAGTAGCTTTGATAAATCTTTAGCAATAAATCATTAGCATGCTTCTCTACTTTCTCTTTTTTGGAAAATTAATTGCTCCTTTAAAAAATAATACTTATTTTCATTCACATTAATTTATTCTCAAAAATATAATTACTTCAATTATTTTATGTAATTAATAATAATAATAATTAATCGAATTAAACTAATCTTTTAATATTATTTTCAAATTCATAAACTGAAATATATTTAATTAAACATTAATATTTTATCAAAACTTTGAATACTTAATATTTGTTGCCAATTTTTTTCACAGATTATCTGCATATCAAAATTACACAACCTTCATCATTTATGCATAAAGTTTTATTTTATTGAATATTAAATTTGAATATTAAATAGCACCAATTAGTTGCGGCTTATTGTATAATATTTATAACCTTAAATATCAATAAATTATCTCTAATATCGGTCATCGGAAGCCGAGCGATACAGAAATAAAACAACAAAAATTCAATAGTTATTTTTGTGGAGGATTTTTAAAATAATCGATATGATTAGAATAAAATATTACTAAAATGTATGTACTAAGATTCATTCTTTACTAATTTTTCACATTCACATTCTTTCTATATTAACTCTCTTAAATTGGGTTTTAGTTTTTATTACCAGCAGAAGACTCATTTTAACAGCATCTTTGGTTCTCGAGAATTAAAAGGGCTTTAAAATAATGCTCCTTTGATTATAATTTTTTAAATGAACCAGATGGTAACTTTGTACACCCCGTATCAGTTTTACTGGTAGTTTTCTTCATGTACCTACTGTTTTTCTCAGAAATAAACTTTAATTTATGTAAGTACTACAGGAAATTTAAAGTCGACCATATGCAGGTACGTATTTTTACTATATTAAAAAACTAGTTTAATCCGCCACACTAATCGCAATAAAATATGTATTTAGATTTTTTGTTTTCCATCTAAAACACAAAATTTTAATATGCAATATGCAGATCATCTTCTTGACCTATAAAAGCTTTATCAGGACAACCAGGGAGCATAGTTTGAAGACTATTCGAAACCAAGCTAAATGTTCAAATACTTGGTAAGTACTAGAATTTTTACAACTACAGTAATAAACGATTTTTTATCTTTAAGAGAAGTCGTAGTTCTTGAGTTTCATTAAAACAACATAATAATAATTACAGCTTTTTTTACAATGTCACAGTATGATTATTAACCCCATTATTCTTTCAGTTGCTCCTCGTTGCCCTTTTGGTCGCCGTAGCCATGGCTGTGCCAAGAGCCGAACCGCAATTTGTTTATCCCTACTATGGTGGATACCCATATTATTCTGGATTTGCCAGAGGCTATCCATTACCCTACGTGGGCTACAAATGATTCATCGATGTATCCGCATACGTTCTGATTAAATACATGTTTTGAATTTCATAAAGTGTTTTAATTCAGAAATTTTCGCGAATTAACAATAACTTACCGGAAATGTGCTACAAATTCATGTTTTAGTTAACAAAACTCGTTGTTCTACTCGTAGTTGAAATATGAATTCGCAATTACATAAATCTTGAAAAATTTCCTGCAGAATTACTATAAACTTTGTCCTTAATGGAATTTTCATATCAGAACTATCAGCAAAATATATATCCACAACATATATTCATTTTAATGAGACTTATGTTTATAGGCCTTCATGTATTATTTAATAAAATTCTGCGGACTAAAGCATTAAACTACACCAGCATCAGTATTAGATGTCGCGAATGATCTATCTGTTTGAATAGGTATCTGTCCACATGTTTTGAGCTATTGAGCTAGATATTGCAGGTGTCATCCAATGCTGAATGGAGCTTTAGTCCGCAAAGTAGTTGTTCCCACAAGATCATTAGGTAAAAATTTTATATCGCCTACTGTAACGTTTTGTCGCCCTACGAAAGAAACACTAACAAATTATAAACTTTCTTAAACTTTCAATGTTGTATTAAACATACAATAATATCTGAAAGTACAATACAATTTGTTTTAGTCAGAACTTTAGGACCAATGGTATGAATTTTTATATTAAAATTTTTCCAAAAATTATTAGTAGTGAAAATAATATCCCTTTAAATAGGGAAAGTAGATATTTTATATTTTACAATACCTTAAAAATGCTTTAAGATATCTTATTCGTATTTTAAAGATAGTATTATTAAAATCCCACTTCTCTCTTTTTGTTATTTTTTTTTTGTAATATTCATCCCAAAAATATTACAAAATAATTTATCACCACCCTGTATGTCAAATTTCTAACTGCTTCCAATTTTGAATTTTTATTTTTTCGTAAAATGCCGATATGGTTCAAGTCACTGCTATTTATACGAGCAATAACAAATATAATCATTCTTATATGCCACAAACATTTTTTCCGCTTTCAATGTATGTGGAACAATTATAATTTTTTTAACAAGATCAACATTCATTGTCTGTAAAGCAAAGATAAGCTTGTTTATAAGGTAAAAATAAGATTATTGTAGGCTTAATTTTTCCAGTACCTACTACCGAGAAAGATATTAAAAATATATGGGACATGCTCAATTTGTCTAATTATAAATATGGCGACTGCTAGAGTGAGATGACCAACGTTAAGAGTAACAGTCTCGTTTTATCAGCATTTGATCAACGTAGATCGTCAAAATTAAACCACACTTCAAAGTTGTTAGAAGTAGTAATTTAAGAAAATGGTCCCCCATACTAGTCCTGAATTTCTTTTAGAAAAGCAAAACCATATTCACACCAAACATCGGGAAAGTTATTATCAAAATAAATACCTAGTTTTGTGTTTTTCAAAAATATTCTTTGGTATGAATACTGCTATATTAGATTGTTAGGTTTTCCAAAATCTAAAATAGAAATACTAGCATTTAAACATACCAAACTTTAGTAAATCCTCTACAATTTTAAAAGTTATTGGAGCACTGCAATCCAGTCATTGTGCACAGTTCATTCAAACGCACTACACGAAAAAACAGTTTGTTGGCACCGACATCCATATACTAAAAAAAATTTATGCAGTTTCTTGATATATGAAAGGCTATCTGATGTAATTTGCAAAATTTGTTGCCGAAGAATCTGTTAATAATACATCGGAAATTGCATCAGATTTTTTTAATAGTTTCGGGAGGCTGATATTCGTATGTTTATGCGTAGGAACCTGGCTTTCAATTTTATTGGCCATAAACAAAAGAATTATATACAAAATAAACACAAGTCAAATGTCAAAGTACTTATAGGCCAAATATTGATATCGGGTTATTCGCTGCAAAGCTTTACCACTGTGAACCTGAAAAAAAAGTATACATTCTAGGCCTAAGATGTGGTTTTTCTTATTCCTATAAAATTTCTGAAAAGTTCAATACTTCAAGACATTGTTAAAGCGTCATATTCAAAATTATTGACTATTTAGTTGAATTAAAATGTATTTAAACTGAACAGGTGTGTATTAGAAGGCATTTGTACAGCGGGATAAGAATATCAAATGTATATTATGTCGATCTAAAAGTATACAAGGTCTCTGAATTTATTAACATTTACATTTTAAACCAGAATAGCAACCTGACTGCTAAATATCTTTAAATAGTAAATTAATAAAACAGCGTAATATAATACGTAATAGTTCATCAGTCAGTGTTTGACAGTTTTTCATGCTGTCTCCGACCCATTTTTTCAGTTGTAGTGAATTAATCGTATTTTATTTATCTTTATTGCTATGGATATTTATAAATATTTTGTAACTACATTCATTACAGGGATATCATATTAATTCTTGAAGAAACTATTCGATATCAAACACATAGGTTAAAAACTAGTAACTTGAGCATTGACAGCTGCTTTTTTAATATCGTTAAAGGTCCTTTTCTTGCTTTCAAATCCTTTAACACAGTATCAGATAATAAATATATCAAGACCAAATTACTCTCGTTGCTTAGACACAATAATCAACTTATTTCACTTTGTCCTTTTCTTCGTCGTGGGATATCAACAACGCAAAAAACACGGCATCTAATTACTCCTAATGATCTCGTCCTTGGTTAACATTAAAAAACAAACTTTACGTAATGAACTTTAACTGACGACGCTTGAATAGGATTGATTTGGATTCCTGGGGAGAGCATAGTCGTCCGGTTTACAGCATTTTTATATGGAAATGTGACGTTGTGTCAACATTTACTTTACGTTACCATGTTAACATTAATTTGGGGAATTCCAGTAAAACATTGTATACAAAAAAGTAATTGCGCTATTTACAGATTCTATTTCATAAACTTTTTATTATTTTCAATATATATATATACAAGACTTCTACGCCTATGAGAGATGAGACACGCAATCAAGAGGCTGTAATGAACACCATCTCGTACACAGCGGGGCTCCTCAATCATTTCTCTATTGTCGCAGGTCATGGATTTACTATACATATACATCGAGAAAATATAACCTCATCATTCTTAGCTGATATAACACTTATACGGTTCCAATTTTCAGTCGCCAGATAATAAAAGAAGAGTTAATTACGCTAGCAGCCTTGGCTTCTAAATATAGACGAATTTGGACTTGGAGAAGCTTGTGGTAATGGACAATTTATCTCAAAATATCTAGGTGTAAGGACATATCAGTTGTATCCAGTTAAAATAAGTCATTTTGCTACAAAAATTAAAAGCAATGGAAATTAATTTGTATGCAGTGAATTTTTGTATTTATTAAAAATGAAAAGTCATTATTAGCTAAAAATGTGTAACGAATTATTTTCAAGGTCCTCATGAGAAAGAATTGACCCTTAATTTGTTTGACATTCTTATATTTACTTTTACTTTAAGAGATTATTATCCTTCTATCTTGGGGTAGTCTAATAAATGGTGAATGCGCCAATGTTAGACGTTCATTAATTTAATTATTCTCCTAGTAAATTTCTTCTCGCATTACTCGAACGTGTATCAAGACCATGTAGGCGTATTATATAGTAATATATCACTGGATATTGGTAGGTAGACGTCGTTTTTCTCAGGTTTAGGTAACAAGTTCGTTGATCTCAGGTAAATACTATATTGTACGTAGTCAGTTTAAGCAAAAACGGGTTGACATGTTAAATGCAATTGTAGGAGCTATTTCGGCCAAAATTAATAGGAATTTATAGATAAGATATAAAGTCATACTCGATATATTCTTAATTAAAATCAAATGTAACCAACAAATATAAAAAACTCTGTGTCGCATAAATTTTATTTATATAGAAAAACAGCATATCGAATTTCGCCCAAAAAAAATCATACATTTTTTGTGAATCGTACAAATTATAGAGACATTTTAAACATATGTATGTGTTTTAAAATTCACCCTGTACGTAACACGGTGACAGGAAATGTTTCTGTCTTGAAACTGGAGTCTATTTTTAAAAAAATGCTCTCTCGTACGCACTAGACTTTTCTTTTATACTGTGAAGTGGAATATTTCTAGCAGCAATCGCATATGGCTTTCAACTGTAGAAACATATTTTTTATTTGTTTGTCACCGGATCTTTTGTTAACTCGGTATGCAGCTTCTAAAAATAGCAACCAATGATACCCCATAACAGTCTGGCTGCTGGGATCAATGCACTCTGGAAAATATTGTGTTTCACCGATTTATCAAATAAATTGCGAAGAGGTGTATTTGCCTTAGAGATTTCCTACCCACAGCACACACATACCTTTTCAAACATTTACCTCGTTTCCATCTACCATATTAAATTCTTTCAACTGTACTGAATTGGATAACAATATTTTAGAGGAAGTCCAGTTAAAATCGATGATTATATCAATTTGTTATGGTTTTAGTCAAAATGAAAAATGAATACCTGCCAAAGGGATAAATATAAAACTGTTACATAAAAGCCACCCTTTCTGAATAATGACCCCAACGATTTTCAAAAATTAAAAGGAAAACATAACAAACAAGGTAAACAAGGTAAATTAAAAAAAATAAATAAAGGTAAATAAAATATCGATAAATAATTGTATAAATTTATATAACTGGTACAGTGAAGAGATATTGACTCTAACTTGCTTAGATTTTCTAAAATGCTGGAGAAAAAATTGCACATATAAACATCCCCTAACACAGCAATAATAGTGAATGTGTGTGATGTTATCGACCGCGTTAAGGTGGCCATATTTCTGGCCGAGAAATAGTGAAATTTCTGGCGTTTTTAGGTACTGAAATCTTTAAAAGTAAAACGTGTAGAACAAAAGTAAGCACAAAAATAAAATCCTTGATGTTTTGTTTATTCATTGTTACCATTTAAATTTACTCAAATAAAATAATAACTAAAAAAAAGCGTTTGTAAAACATGCGTTTGCTATTATCCTAACCCCACATTTTAAGAATTATTTTCACGTACTTATAAATAAAAGTA